CTACTCAAACGCACCAACAAGACAACTCTAACAACATAATTCCCATATCGGGACAAAAGCTCCTACTTGAGGAGAATAAGCTCCTACTAGAGGAGAATAAGCTCCTCACACAGGAGAATCACCATACACACACAACAAAAAACAACAAAACAAAAACACCACAAACTAACAACACAAACACCACAAAACAACATAAACTAAGTAGAATAATACCCTCCTTCCAACCGACGAAATAAACCGCACACACATCGGCATGACACCCAGAGACAGATGCCCACAAGGATAGGACTCCAACTCCAATACCGAACCAAAAACTCTAGTGAACCACGACTATCTGGAATCGTATCAGATGACTGCAATCTTCTTCGGACGGACTACCCCTGGACTAGCAACCGGTGGACGACTCAGCCCATCCCCTTCCCACAACCAGCTCCACAAAAAAAAAATTCCCAGCCGGTTACGGGAAGCCCGATAAGGCCGACCGACCAGGCAACTACACATCGTAGGAAGACAGCGGAATGGGAAGAGGGGGGCGAAACGAACCTCAGCTCCGACCGATGCTGAGAATCCGGTCGGAGCTCGACGCACAGCCCCAACTCGGCGCCTATGGAACCGAACAAAAGCAAAGTCACCTTGAACTCAGCGAGAACTATACCTGGCTGGGACCTCAACACAAAGGGTGGGCCGGCTTTGCGGACTGCTGACGGCTGGAACCGGGCAGGCGGAGAGCCCGAGAGGGAGGAGGTGACGGTGGAAGCTTGGACGCGGAGGCTAGGGGTTGGATTTGGAAATTGGGGAAATCGGGAGAGAGACTTGTTATAAAGCAAGCATTCACATGCCATAAAAATGAAATACAAGAAATTCATATAATAACGCTTCATATTAAATTTTATGCCAAATTGAATGCTATAATCCACGACTAACACATCTTGAACATCATATGATGAAGCTTCTGGGGATCATCTCAGGCCCATATGAGTTTCCTTATTTGAATTCTATGATTGTATCCGAATTTTTTTTTACTCGGCCTTATTGGTCCACGATTGTCCATAAATTATTCTAGATCAAACCAGAAGTCCCTCTCACCATCACAATTTGCACACTCGACCAATTTACCCTTGTCTTTATTTTGAATATTCTCTTTCTTCTTCAATCCAAATTACCCGAGAAACAAAAAATTCAGGCCACAAGAATACTCGATTCTATTTAAAATAGTCTGAAAAGCCCTCACTTTTGGATTCCGTAAAGGACTAGTGATGCCAAACATCATCCAGTTTTTACTTCTTTAAATCACCATTTTCCTTGTTCAATCATGGACTAGTCGGGTCATGTCTCACTGAATTTGCAGCCGCGCCAAATAACAGAAAAGGGAAGAAGAAAGGGGAGAGAATCGAGAGTGAGAACGTCAAAGAGAGACATTGAATTAGATTGAAAGTTACACACTTATTATGCATATGTTCCTTAATAGTATCAATAAAATTCTTTTCCACAAATATGATATACATCGTCGAAAAAGAATGTAGAAAACAATAATAAATAAGCATGAAATATGAGAAGATAAATGTGGAAGAGAAATAATTATCTCGCATAAGAGAAAAACAATTATAATGGCCTCGTATGGGAGGTAATTATCTCAATACTTATGAATATTTTGTAGGTCCCAATAATTTTCAGCTTCAAATATGTCTAACCTTATCAATATATTTGCCCAACTTGAAGAGTACATATACATACATTTGACGACTTCTCTAAAAGTAAATTAAAATTATTTGATATGAATCCATCAACAAGTCCCACATCAATACATCATGATAAAATATTCAACAATCATAGAAATCGTAACAAGAAAAAAAAAAAAAGAAAAAAATATTCTATAATAAACTACGTCAAATTTTACTTTTGAAAATTTTTCCATATATGTGGAAAAACGTAAAATGTTTATAAATACAACATACAAGCAGTTATGGCACATAAAGTGCAAGAAATGTCTAATCCCATTTATGACAAACATCTAAAAAAGATATTATAGATAAACGGAAACATATTGTGCATATTAAACAAACAAAAGTTCGACTCTCCTTGCTCTCAACATTGCTTGGAATCATATATTACATACAGGAAATTTAATTAATTACCTAACCTAATATTTCAAACTTCCCAGCAAGCAACATCCATAAATCCCGTATGCTATCGAATTTTCAAACGAAGAAAATACCCAAGCTCCATGTCCAAAGCAATACAACACACCATCTCATTTTAATTTCAAGCTAAAATCCCCAAAAGGTAACCCAAACTTCTATCATATGCAAGCCAAAAATCCAGCAAATGGCCCTAACATAGTCCACTAAAAAATGATTTTATCACTACAATCATGCTAGTGGAAGATGTCATCTTCATCTCGCGCAAGCCAGAGTTCTGGAAGCTTCAGTGTTCCTTCGAAGAAGCTCTGTCGCCATTGCAAGGAAGCTGACGTGTTGACCTCCATGACGTGCGAGAACCCATGTAGAAGGTTCTATAAACGTCGTATGAGGAAGGTGAGCTACGTATACTATGTGAGAACCCTAATTTCCTTAAAATTCCTAAATTTTATAAACCTAATTAAAAACCCCAATTTCTATAAACCCTAAATTTTTGATTTACATTGTTTATGAAGGGGAATGACTGTGGTTTTGAGTTCCAAAATCTTTTTTTTTTTTTTTTTGCAATTGAAATCTAAGAACGAGTCTTTGGAAGAGAAGCTGAGGCGTAAGGTTGCAGTGGAGAAAATGTACAATGGAAAGGCATTGGAAAAAGATGAAATTGTGGACCGTGATATTGATTTTGAACAAAAATTGAATGATCTTGAGGTTGAAGTTCAGAAGAACAATGAAGTCGTGTTGCTTTTGAAAAATACATTCACTCATGCATAAACTGGAAAGGAAGATGAATGTTGTAATGATTTGCTTGATTGTGGTTATACTGATCTTTTTTTTTCCTTAGTTTGGTTAGGAAATCTGGTCATAAGTAGGGGCCTAAAATGTTGCTTTGAATAATGTTCTGTTTTATTTCATTTGGTGGATGTATTGAACTTAAGAAGTAATGAAATCTATTGTTGTGTTTTATCTTATTGTTATTGTCCTTTTGTTGTTATGTTTTGCGATTTATGAGATAGAACTTTGTTAAGCAAACTGAGATCACATACTTAACATAACAAAACAACACATTATTTATAGAAAATTGAGATCGACATACAATGATCTGGCACTCTAAACATTACAACAACACTACAAAAGACCCAAACCTGAGTACTTTCAAACACAATCACATACTTGACACAACAAAACACTGCATCTAAAGAAGAAATCTGAGATGTACAACACTTCAAAATCATTACTAAGTTCTTCCAACAATATTATTTGTTCAAAGCATAACCCAACATAATTCAACACCATTACATTCACAAAGTTATCCATTAATGCTAAACCATTTTGAGTGCCTAAAACACAAAGAAACAATTCATCCACAATCAACAATACTCCAAAAGCAAATCTAAGTCAATCATCCATAGTTCAATAGTACTCCAACAATCAACGACACTTCAAAATAAATCTACGTTAATCATCCATTGGGAGCAACACTCTCTTGAGTGCCTAAAGCATCCTTAATCTTCCTCCCCTTCTGCATTTTCCCCTTTCCTCCAGTCTTGCTAGAACCAACACCTCTCTCAGAAATGACATGAACTCTTCTTTCTGATGACAAATGCATTTGTGACATTTTAAATAATAAAACAAAATAAGTATACAAAGTCTCAAACCAGCCATGAGATTGCAAAAATGACAAATATAAGAAAGAAAGCTATTGGCAATAGACATACTCTCATGTAGGTATTACCAGTCTTCTCAGACTGAAGGATACAAATTCTTTTTCTTGCCTAAAAACAAATATAACAATAAAGCATCACACAAACAACATGATATATGCAATAACATATCAATTAAACTTTAATAAAATAAAATGCTATTACCAGAGCTCTTTCCTTTTGAGTTAAAGATGACTGTTGGCTTGACTGTTGTCTTGCATGTTGGCCTGACTTCTTTTTTGACAATGAACTTGTCTTTTGACCTGGTGATCCAACAATCTTCTTGGGCCTTCCTCTTGGATTCTAACAAAACAAATATGCATTAAAATCAACTTGATGTTTATCATAACATGATTAAATAAGACTTGAAATAGAAATTATAACTTTTGGTTGTTTTCCCTCTGGAGGATTAGAACATGATTTCTTATTGTGCCCTCTCTGAAAACATCTTTGACAAGTCATAGTCAACCCAAATCTTCTCAACTTAGTCCCACAATTCATTTCTTTCTCAGGTGCTCTCTTCCTTTTCTTCTTTGGCCTTCATGGAATCTTTTCAAAAGGAGGAGTAAAAATAGGATAACCCTGTGCAACGTGCCACAATTTTTTCTGATTTATAGGTTCTAATGACAAGCTGTACAGGATACGGGATAGTTCCATGATGGACCTCGAAAATGGATACTATGTAGTCCGCTTTGACACGCTGGAGGAGCAATTATGTGCTCTTACGGATGGCCCATGGGTGACAGTCAACCATTATCTTCACGTTCAACCATGGACTGTAGAATTTGATGCGACTAATATCTGTACACAATCAGTCGTAGCGTGGATTCGCTTGCCCGGCCTCCCCGTGCAGTTCTACAATACTGAGGTCTTCAGATAAATTGAAAAAATAGTAGACAAAGTAGTGAAAATCGTCTATCAAACGGCGGCGAGACTTCGGGGTAAATACGCTAGATTGGCGTGTCTTTTGGACCTGTCCCAACCACTGTGTTCTGACTTCGAAATCGGGGGTAGGGTTCAACGTGTCGAATATAAAAACTTGTCGGATATATGCTTCACATGTGGTACGTATGGTCATGGATCGAACTTATGTCCTAAGTCTCGCGAGGCCGGCAAGGAAAAGAGTCAAGAGCCGTCGGCTACTGAGCCCAAGAACGCGCCTGTTAAAGACACCGGTCAACCTTCTTCGTCCCAACCTCCTCCACAAACGGGCCCAGGACCATGGATGATAGTGCAAAGATAAACCCGACAATACACCAGGGCAGATAAAACTCACGCGGAACCCCCGCCCAAATGCAAAGAAGGCCACCCAAACTCAAGCTCGATGTTCTAATCACTTCAGAAGGAGGGCATGAGTGATATGACCGACCATAGGTCCGAGGAACACAGGGGGAATGGACCTTCACGACGAAAGCTGGGGAGCAGGACAAGGGGAGTGGGCCAAAAATATGGAAACCCATACGTTCAGAGAAGAGGCCAGCTAAGGACAAGCAAGTGTCAGGACCCTTACGGACAATAGTAAGCAACCCTCCGTGATTTCGTAGTGGCACCAACGGTAATCCATAGCGACTGGGACTGTGGGGAGAGAGGCTAATAAGACGCGCGATGAAATGACAACCAAAGAGGAAAAGGCCTAGCCACTGACGGCTTCCATATGGTACATGCTTCGAGTACCCTTGACCTTGAAAGACACCGAGCTGTTACTTTCGTAAGCACCCCCCCGGTGGCACACGATATGACAGTAGATCCCCATCCATCTATCCAGAGTGATCTACCCCTTCAGGAGGAACCCTCGGACAGCTCTGAGATGCTCAGCTACGAGAATGCAGTACGGATGGATGACGATGATACAATTATGGTTCAGGGCGTTGATAGCCCTTGCCTGGCCTGTGTTGGTGTTATATACTTAAGCTTTGCTTTAGTGGATATTACACTTGTTATTCCTTGATGAATGAGAATTATGTTTGGTTAAATAAGTTCCACGTTCTGTTGTTTT